GCTTCCCCAGATGGAAATGGTTGTTGCGCATCTCCAGGTTTGTGGGGAGGAGGAGGGGAAGGGGAGCTGCCTTTTGGCCCCCCAACTAGCTGCCCATCTGCTCTCTGTCAGGACGCGTTAGGAGTGCGCTTGGACTCCTGCCCCAGAGTTTCAGCTCTGAGCTGGTCATGTGTTTGTCTCCACGACAACAACTCCCGGCAATGTGTAAACGGCCGTGCTCCGAGCCAGATGCTCCTCGGCTCATGTGATCTAATTAGAGGGGACACACACACACACACACCTCGAAAGCACATGCAGCTCAGTGATGTTGCGCTGCGTTCGTGGATGAGGTGGGAAAGGACTGGCGGTGGTCATGCGGCCAGACTCCGTCCGAACATGCTCTCAGTGAAGATAGAATGGAATACCTTATTGTCATTGTGCTATTGCACAACGAAATTCAATGCCTTCCCCAACAAACACCACAAAACAACACCCCCGTCCAATTCCCACCACTACCACACAGACCCCAATGCCACATCAATGAGAAGCCATGGAGTTCGGCATAGCCACAGCTCTCGGATAAAGGCTGCCTCTCAGTCTGTTTGTCCTTGCCTTTGTCACCATGTACTATCTGCCCCTCAGCCGCTTTAGTAGTTGAGAGGAAAAAGGAAAGAGCCTGAGACTCTTAGGAATTGTGGAAGTTGAAGTCCAAAACATCTGGAGAAAGGGCCTGATGGGGATTAAAGTGGTTGAAGATTTGGCCGGACATTGGGAGAGATTAAAGCCCCTTCTACACTGACAATCAAGGGATCATCTGCATACCCACGTTGTGGGAGGTGGAGTTCAAAACACCTGGAGGGAGGGCCCAAGTTGGCCCATGCCTTTGTCCTCTTGGAACTGGACACTTGGGTCAATCAAGGGATCATCTGCATACCCATGTTGTGGGAGTTGGAGTCCAAAGCACCTGGAGGGAGGGCCCAAGTTGGCCCATGTCTTTGTCCTCTTGGAACTGGACGCTACGGTCAATCAAGGAATAATCCGCATACCCACGTTGTGGGAGCTGAAGTCCAAAACACCTGGAGGGAGGGCCCAAGTTGGCCCATGCCTTAGTTCTCTTGGAACTGGACACTTCAATCAATCAAGGGGTCATTTGCATACCCATGTTGTGGGAGTTGGAGTCCAAAGCACCTGGAAGGAGAGCCCAGGTTGGCCCATGCCTTTGTCCTCTTGGAACTGGACACTCTTGTCAATCAAGGAATCATCTGCATACCCTTGTTGTGGGAGTTGGAGTCCAAAACACCTGGAAGGGGGCCCAGGTTGGCCCACGCCTTTGTCCGCTTGGAACTGGACACTACGGTCAATCAAGGAATCATCTGCATATCCATGTTGTGGAGTCCAAAACACTTGGAGGGAGGACCTAAGTTGGCCCATGCGTTTGTCCTCTTGGAACTGGACATTACGGTCAGTCAAGGGGTCATCTGCATACCCACATTGTGGGAGTTGGAGTCCAAAACACCTGGAGGGAGGACCTAAGTTGGCCCATGCCTGCTGTAGAAGTAGAAAGATGGACTATAAAATAAACACAATTCTCATCAGAAGTGTCCTTTCCCCCTCAAAAATAAAGAACTCTCACGAGGGATTGCTGAGAGGATGGGAGAGGTTGGACAGTGCTTCCCTCTCCAAAGGTCCTGTTTTCTCTCTCCACTGATGGTCCTCCCTTCATCTGAATGGGTTTGGGTCATTTGGCCGTTGATTCTCAGCCACCATTCCCACTTGCCCACCTTCTATAAATGAGGCTCAAAGTGAGGATAATGTTCTTTTGACACTCGTTGGATTTTTGTGTGGATGAGATCTTACTGTAAATACGTTGCACTTCTTGGGATAATTAGGTTTCCTGAGAGAGCGTGGCACAGCAAGAACAGAGGAGTGTGACCTTTTCCCAGCTCTCTTCCGTCGCCACCTTTGATTAACCTTCTTGCGGCTCCAGCGTTTGAAGCGGCCATCTCTCCTGCCCATCTTCTCTGGTGGGACTGGGAAGCCAGTTGCATCGTCAATTAGCGGGTGGCATTTTCATGCCTGAGCATGAGCATGGGGCATATGTCTCCTTGCCCATGGAGAGGAGATGGCCTGGGAATGACAGCCACTCCATTGTGGTGGATCAGATACAGGCAGTCCCAAAGTTACAAGCAAGAGAGGTTCTGAAGTTTGTTCTTTCGTTGAATTTGTATGTAAGTCGGAACTGGGATATTTTTAAAGTGCAAATCCAGCCAAATAATACATATATTTTAGCTTTGGATAGAATAAGGAAGGGTTAACATTATAAGGACAAGGCAGAGGTAGATGGCATAGAGCTGTGCAGGAGAGAAGGGATGCACCAATACATTGCACGAACTCCTCTCTGTTGAGGGATGTCAACTGAACATGGTCCATAAGAGCTATCAGATATATGTTTCATCTGGACCTCCAGTGTTGATGTCAATGTTGAGTGATGTCATCGTTGAGGGATGTCAACTGAACATGGTCCATAAGAGTGATTGGATGTGTGCTTCATCTGGATCATCTGGAGTGTTGAGGGATGTCAACTGACCATGGTCCATAAGAGCAATCAGATGTATGTTTCATCTGGACCTCCAATGTAATGAAAGTGTTGAGGGATGTCATTTGAACATGGTCCATAAGAACGATCAGATGTGTGCTTCTTCTGGACCTCCAATATTGATGTTAATGTTGAAGGATGTCAGTTGAACATGGTCCATAACAGTGATTGGATATGTGCTTCTTCTGGACTTCCAATGTTGATGACAATGTTGAGGGATGTTAATTGAACATGGTCAATAACAGTGATTGGATGTGTGCTTCTTCTGGACTTCCAATGTTGATGACAATGTTGAGGGATGTCAATTGAACATGATCCATAAGAGCAATTGGATGTGTGCTCCATCTGGACCTCCAATGTAATATAAGTGTTGAGTGATGTCAGCTGAACATGGTCCATAAGAGTGATTGGATTTGTGCTTCATGTGGACCTCCAATATTGATGTCAGTGTTGAGGGATGTCAACTGAACATGGTCCATAAGAACGATTGGATGTGTGCTTCTTCTGGACCTCCACTGTTGATTGTCAATGTTGAGGGATGTCAACTGAACATGGTCCATAAGAGCGATTGGATGTGTGCTTCTTCTGGACCTCTAATATTGATGTCAATGTTGAGGCATGCCAATTGAACATGGTCCATAAGAGCGATCAGATGTGTGCTTCTTCTGGACCTGTAATGTTGATGTTAGTGTTGAGGTATATCAATGGAACATGGCCCATTAGCGCGATCAGATGTGTGCTTCATTTGGACCTCCAATATTTTCCTCCATTGTTGAGTAATTGGAATACTTTTGGGAAGATTTGCTCAGAAGAGGATTTAACCTTTGCTTTCCTTTGATGCTGAGAAAGTGGGACTTGTTTGGGGTCACCCAGCTGGTTTCAGTGGCCTAACGGGGAATCTGAAGCCTAGTCTCCAGAGCCGTAGTCCAATGCCCGTATCACTGCAGCATCCTGGCTAGTTAGGGATGCTCGATTTCAAACTCAAGTCACAGATTGGATCATCAAATGTTAAAGAAACCCTCCCTCTTCAGAACGGGAGGCCTGCTGGGCCTAATTAAGCGAGAGGGCCATTTATTCTTGATGGGCTGCTCCTCTCGCCTCCAGGACTCACCATTCTCTGTGAAGCAGGAGTCCTTCAAGTCCAAACTCCTCTGCAGATTCATTTCCTCCCTCCTATTAGAGTCAACATGCAAAATGTATAATCCGGTCTATTCAGTCATGGCAATGTAAACTGCTGACATTTCACTCCTGGACTTTATACCCTGTTGTGTCCTCAAACCATCATAGATGTTCCAATGTGGCTTTCCTGACCTTCGAGGGCCTCTGTCCACATGGAGCATTTAGAAACGTTGGTCGATTTTGGCCCTAGAATAGTAGTAGTAGTAGTAGTAGTAGTAGTAGTAATAGTAATAGAATCACAGAATCATAGAATCATACAATCCTAGAGATGGAAGAGACCTCCTGGGCCATCCTCCAGTCCAAGCCCATTCTGCCAAGAAGCAGGAATATTGCATTCCAATCACCCCTGACAGATGGCCATCCAGCCTCTGTTTCAAAGCTTCCAAAGAAGGAGCCTCCACCACACTCCCTCCGGGGCAGAGAGTTCCACTGCTGAACGGCTCTCACAGTCAGGAAGTTCTTCCTCATGTTCAGGTGGAATCTCCTCTCTTGTAGTTTGAAGCCTTGTCCTAGTCTCCAGGGAAGCGGAAACAAGCTTGCTCCCTCCTCCTCCCTGCAGCTTCCTCTCACATATTTATACATGGCTATCATGTCTCCTCTCATCCTTCTCTTCTTCAGGCTAAACATGCCCAGCTCCTTAAGCCGCTCCTCATAGGGCTTGTTCTCCAGACCCTTGATCATTTGTATCACCCTCCTCTGGACACATTCCAGCTTAGAATCAATATCTCTCTTGAATTGTGGTGCCCAGAATTGGACACAATATTCCAGGTGTGGGGTAAACAAGGCGGAATAGAGCATGGGGAGCATGACTTCCCTGGATCTAGACACTATGCTCCTATTGATGCAGGCCAAAATCCCATTGGCTTTTTTTGCCGCCACATCACATTCCTGGCTCATGTTTAACTTGTTGTCCACGAGGACTCCAACATCTTTTTCACACGTACTGAAGTAACACCTCAGTCTGCTTTGAGGTCAGGTGTGGAGATGAAGATTTACACGTTCATGGATCTCAAAACTCCTGGGATATCAGATTTGGGAAATACAGCCATTCCATCCCAAATCAATCCTGAAACAATGGCTTGAGTTTGCCAGCCTTTGGCCGCAGGTGAAGTTGGGGAAGCAGGATAGCTTCCTGGGCTCTTGTTCCTTCATGTTTTTCCAATGATGGTCCATTCACGGTGACTCAAGAGACCAATCTGGTTCCGTGTGCATTGACCCCCTTTCACGGCTCTTGTCTTTTCCCCAGGGAGAACCAATCACCTTCTGCGAAGAAACCTTTGCCTCCCACCGCTCCGCCACCATGCGACAGTTCCTGCAGAATGCCATCCAGCTGCAGCTCTTCAAGCAGGTACTTTCCAGGGTTCAATACTCCCGTATGCTGTCTGTGGGCTGTGATCTATAGACGGGGCTGTGGGCCATGAAATAGGGCTGGCCACTTCGTTCCCTAATTAGTGTAATTTATGGGTCAAAAGGAAATGTCTTCTGTATTGCGTTGTCTGTTGCACTCGTAGCACTGAAACACTTTCTCACCCAGCACCACACCAGAGTTCGGTAATTCTATCTAAACATGTTTATTAAAGAAAGTAGATAAAGGGGGGGGGGGGGGTTCCAAAAGGATCAGTAGCATCAAAAATACAAAATCCCCAAAATGACAAGAAAACCAAAATCCACAGCAAAATCCAAACAGAAATCCATGAAAACGGGAACTTTTCCAAAGTAAACACTCCAAGGGAAAACAGGCATAAGCAGAAACTGGAGAACAATCTCCTTAAAGGAACGTTGTCTCCTCTGAGAGGCCTGAAACCAAACCACTTAATTTAAGCCCTCTTAGACACCCATGACATTGTGCCCGAGACATCTAGACTTCAGGGTCTTATTTCGGATTCTCTCCAAATATCAGGTTTGCCTATCTTTCACTCCCTGCGTTCTCAGGTCTAATCTATTCTCCCTGGAAAACTCCCCATCTGCCCAAGGCCTTTTCTCAAGGGAACTGGAACTTTCACTTCCCCTGCTCACTGGGAATGAGCACAAGAATCCAAAGCATCGGCCTCGTCTGCCTGCAATTCTCTCCGATCACTCACAAACTCCTCACTTTGAAACTCATCATTCCCCCCCTCCCCCCATCCTCTGGACATTCAGAAAGATCTTCTGATGCTTGCCAGACTACAACATTGTCAAAGACTTTCGTGGCCGGAATCACTGTGTTGCTATGAGTTTTCTGGGCTGGATGGCCATGTCCCAGTAGCATTCTCCTAATGTTTTGCCTGCATCTGTGACTAATGGAATCCTCAGAGGTCTGTTGGCAGTGAGGCAAGTGGGGTGTGTGTGTGTGTGTATCAGATACACACACACGTACAAACATATGTATGTGTGTATGTATATACACACACACACACTGTATATGTGTGTGTATCTGTGTGGTATATACACACACACACTGTATGTGTGTGTGTGTGTATATATATATATATACATACATATACAACAGATATATATACACCCCACTTGCCTCATTTGTAACAGACCTCTGAACAAACTTCTGAGTATGCCAGCCACAGATACAGGTGAAACGTCAGGAGGGAATGCTGCTGGAACATGGCCAGGCAGCCCGGAATACCCGTAGCAACCCAGTCTTCTATATTATTTGATGATCATTTGATTATTTGAAGAGCATTGTGGGGTTTGTTTTTTCCCACATTCGGTATTCTGTAATTCTATAATTTGGTATTCTATAATAGTAAAACTTGACAAAAAGCTTTCTTGTCTTCCTTTGAGTCCAAACTGCAAAGGAGGGAGTGCCATTAAGCAAGAAAACATGGCTCAATGGTCTTCCCACTAATGAAATGAAGCATAGGTAATATATTATTGAAGGCTTTCACTGCTGGAACCACTTGGGTTTACCCCAGAAGCATAGGTCCTCCGGCCCCTTTCTTTGCTCAAATAAGTTTTTGCGCCTTGCTTTGTGCAGAGAAAAAGTGGGGCATAAATAAACAACAACATTTTTTTGTTGGGTGACTTTGAGGAATTCCCATTGTGTGTCCTTTCGTTTCTCCTTCCTGAAGTTTATTGATGGCCGCCTCGATCTCCTCAACTCTGGAGAAGGCTTCAGCGATGTCTTTGAGGAAGAGATCAACATGAGCGAATATGCCGGTAAGCTACAATCTTTACGGATTTCATTTCGATGTGCAGAGCAACGTCTCACTCCAGATCATTTTTTAAAAATAGCAGTTCAACTTGACCATAGACCCGAGCTGCAGAAGAGGTGGCCCAGATGTTGGATCGACTTGTGGAATTCATCCTCAGGGGCAACTGGGTGGCCACTGTATGAACCAGCTAGAGCAGTGGTTCTCAACCTGAGAGTCCCCAGGTGTTTTGACCTACAACTCCCAGAAATCCCAGCCAGTTTACCAGCTGTTAGGATTTCTGGGGGTTGAAGGCCAAAACCACTGAGCTAGAGAGACCTTTATCCTGATTACAACACGGCACTTCCTGCCTGCTGAGTATTGCACTGTAACCCCCATCATCACCCCTAGCCAGAAAGCCATTGAAGAGGGATGGTGGCACTTGGAGTCCAGCAGTCATCACATATTCCTGATTCTTTCCCTAGACATTTGGGAGGAAAGTTTCGCTTCCATACAGATGGATGGGGGCAGAACAATCCAGGGTTAAACATTATTAGATCCCTGTCTCCAAAATTACAGTATCCTTTTGAGACGCCTCATGGGAATGGGGCTTGGAGGCACTGTTTCGCAGTGGCTCCAGTCCTTCCTGGAGGACCGTTCCTATAAGGTGTTGTTGGGGGACACTTGCTCAGCTCCGCGGTCTTTGTCCTGCGGGGTTCTGCAGGGCTCAGTATTGTCCCCGTATTGTTTAACATCTATATGAAGCTGCTTGGAGAGATCATCCAGAGTTTTGGAGTTCAATCTCATCTGGATGCAGATGACGTCCAACTCTAACTTCTTTCCACCTGCTACTAAGGAGGCTGTCCAGCTCCTGAACTGGGGGAAAGGGAAAGGCCTCCACCTGTTAGGAATGGTGGGAGTTGGAGTCCAAAGCACCTGGAGCAAAGGCCTAAGTTGGCCCATGCCTTTGTCCTCTTGGAACTGGACACTGTAGTCAGTCAAGAGGTCATCTGCATAGCCTTGTTGTGGGAGTTGAGGTCCAAAACACCTGGAGGGAGGGCTCAAGTTGGCCCATGGCTTTGTCCTCTTGGGACTGGACACTTCAGTCCATCAAGAGGTCATCTGCATACCCTTGTTGTGGGAGTTGAGGTCCAAAACACCTGGAGGGAGGGCTCAAGTTGGCCCATGGCTTTGTCCTCTTGGGACTGGACACTTCAGTCTATCAAGGGGTCATCTGCATACCCTTGTTGTGGGAGTTGAGGTCCAAAGCACCTGGAGGGACATAGAGTTGGCCCATACCTTTGTCCTCTTGGAACTGGACACTTCAGTCCATCAAGAGGTCATCTGCATACCCTTGTTGTGGGAGTTGTCCAAAGCACCTGGAGGGAGGGCCAAAGTCGGCCCATGCCTTTGTCCTCTTGGAACTGGACACTTCTGTCAGTCAAGAAGTCATCTGCATACCCTTGTTGTGGGAGTTGTCCAAAGCACCTGGAGGGAGGGCCAAAGTCGGCCCATGCCTTTGTCGTCTTGGAACTGGACACTTCTGTCAGTCAAGAAGTCATCTGCATACCCTTGTTGTGGGAGTTGTCCAAAGCACCTGGAGGGAGAGCCCAGGTTGGCCCATGCTTTTGTCCTCTTGGGACTGGACACTTCAGTCAGTCAAGAGGTCATCTGCATACCCTTGTTGGGGAGTTGAGGTCCAAAGCACCTGGAGGGAGGGCCCAAGTTGGCCCATGGCTTTGTCCTCTTGGGACTGGACACTTCCGTCAGTCAAGAAGTCATCTGCATACCCTTGTTGTGGGAGTTGTCCAAAGCACCTGGAGGGAGGGCCCAGGTTGGCCCATGCTTTTGTCCTCTTGGGACTGGACACTTCAGTCAGTCAAGAGGTCATCTGCATACCCTTGTTGGGGAGTTGAGGTCCAAAGCACCTGGAGGGATCAAAGCCCATGCCTTGATCCTCTTGGGACTGGACACTCCAGTCAATCAAGGGATCATCTGCATACCCATGTTGTGGGAGTTGGAGTCCAAAACACCTGGAGGGACAAAGTTTGCCCAGGACTGGTATAAACAAACATCATCATCATTATTCAGCATTGTATTGTGGGGCCTGCTGGTCTTCAGAATACGTGCCCAAGTTTAACCTGTGTCCTCTCTCTTTGGATCAGGTAGCGATAAGCTGTACCACCAGTGGCTGTCGACAGTGAGGGTAAGTGTCTCCTGTGGCACAAATGCTCCTTAGTGTGGCTTTTCAGTGGCTTCTGTCCTGGGGATCATCCCAGTTCTTAAAGCAGGGGAACACATCAACCTTAGGGTTGCCTTCAAAGGTACGCTGAATCTTGGGAACGAACATCTGTGGATACAGAGGTCCAGCTGTATTTTTTTTTACATACTGGTTGGGGCTCTAAAACCATAGAAACATAGAATAAGAGAGTTGCAAGAGACCCCATGAACCATCTAGTCCAACCCCCTTCTGCCATGCAGGAAAAGCACAAAGCACCCCCGACAGATGGCCATCCAGCCTCTGTTTCAAAGCCTCCAAGGATGGAGCTCCAAGAAATTGGCTACTATTTCTTTCTCTCTGATGTGCATAAAAAGTAAGGTGGGTTTCTTTTGGGAATGTGCACTCCCGTTCTTAATTGACACGGATGAACTATACCATGTGAGGAATATGGAAAGCTGCAATTCTGCAATTCGACTTACCTGTAAGATCGTGATATAGAAAGAGGTTTAATTAGCAGGGGGGCGAAACCAATATCTCCTTGGAGGCAGGAATTGCTGGGCGCAGACAGTGGAGACGGAGGATCAGATCGCCTTGATTATCGAGGTCCCGACAAACGTGACCCTCGCCCACTGTCCGGCTTCTCTGATGTTCTCACAGAATGTCAAATAATGTTCCACGAGCTGCAGAAAGAGGAAAGTTATGAATTAATAAAAAAAAAATCCAGTGCGCAATCATTTGGAACAAGAAGTTGTTGGCTCGCATTGCTGATCATTGTTAATTAAAACGTACAACAAGGAAGGGCTAATGATTCCTTTTGCAAAGACGACAGCACTTGGCTCCTCCGTCCGTCGTGTGCGTATGTCCCTGCCGTTGGGGTGCTGTCCCTCCTTTTTTTGTGTCAACCAGATTTTATTAGAACGGTGCATAATGCAACACAAGTCAACATGTGTTGCAAAATAAATAAAACACGTCACGGGGAGGCTCGATTATTCTGTCTGACATCTCAGAGTCTTGCACACTCCTTGTTGTGCCTCCTGTCTGTGAAGCTCTACCCTTCTGGAATAATCTGGAGGTGGATTCTGCTGGCCTTCGTTGTGTTCCCGGCATAGTTGTTGTCAATAGATGTTGCGTTCTGGCCTGCATTCACCTTTGCACTCAGCACCACACAAGAGTCCAGTAGTACTAATTAAGCAGTTTATTGAAGGAAGCAAATATAAAAAGGCAAAAGACAATGTGAAAAGCAATGTCCAAGAAGCAGTAGGAAAAAAGGCTTTCAAAAGGCAACAATCCAAACATCAAAGTTCTGTTCAAAAGTGAGAAGATACATGAAAAAACCAGGAATCAAAACATAGAGTTGTTGTAGGTTTTTTCAGGCTATATGGCCATGCTCTAGAGCAGGGGTCCTCAAATTAAGGCCCGGGGGCCGGATGTGGCCCTCCAAGGTCATTTACCCAGCCCTCGCTCAGGGTCAAACTAAGACTGAAACGACTTGAAAGCACACAACAACAACAACAATTCTATCTCATCAACCAAAAGCAGACCCCACACTTCCTACTGAAATACTAATAAGTTTATATTTGTTAAAATTGTTCTTCATTATTAATTATTGTATTGTTTTAAAGTGGGTTTTGCACTACAAATAAGATATGTGCAGTGTGCATAGGAATTAATTCATGTTTTTTTCAAATTATAATCTGGCCCTCCAACAGGTTGAGGGACTGTGACCTGGCCCTCTGTTTAAAAAGTTTGAGGACCCCTGCTCTAGAGGCATTCTCTCCTAACGTTTCGCCTGCATCTACGGCAAGCATCCTCAGAGGCTGTGAGGGCTGAAACATAATTCTAAATCAAATCTAAAGTTCTAAATCAAAACATAGTTCTAAATCCATAACCAGGAACACGGGAACTTCTTCCAAAACATACAAGACATTCCCAAAGATCTTCAACAAGAACAAGACCTAAAGTGTACACTTTAATGCAGCGTTGCCTCTTCTGACCCTTTCAGTAAACAATACTTTAATTTAAGGTCCACAAGCCATGAAGTCATGCCTTTGACATCTGGTTTGTTTCAGAGATTTCTCACAGAGGCTCTGTGACCTCTGTAATCTGACTCTCTCCTCCTGGAGATTGAGTCTCCTACTCCTACTGACCTCAGGTGTTTTCCCAGGGGAAAGATCTTCCCTTCCAGCTCCTTATCTTCAGTTGCCAAGGAACGATGAGGGGAAAGGTCTTCTCTATCTTCCAATGCCAAAGCATCTCCATCTCCTCCCTGCTCTGAAGCCATTTCTTTCTGACCAGACACAGATCCTCCCAGAGAAAATCATGATCCAAAATCCCCTCATTTCCCACACTGGAAAGCCTATCATTCCTCACAACCTCTGAACAATCCCCTCATCTTCAGTCTCTGGCTGAACCATAACATTTCTCCATTTGTTGCCTTTTGGACACTATGCTCCCACATATATTGCATGTAGGACTAACGCTGATGGCACTGTATTGTCAAAGGCTTTCATGGCCGGAATCACTGGGTTGTTGTAGGTTTTTCCGGGCTATATGACCATGTTCTGGAGGCAATTTTCCTGGAGGAAAAATTGCCTCCAGACCATAGCCATATAGCCCGGAAAAACCTACAACAATCTGCTGATGGCACTACTTCTGTCCTGACATTACTTTGCTGCATTCTTTGTTTTTCTTTGCAGAAAGGAAGCGGTGCCATTTTGAATACGGTCAAGACCAAGGCCAACCCCGCCATGAAGACTGTCTACAAGTTTGTAAGTGCCATCAAATTGTGTAAATGTATGTGAGAAGGTTGTGGGCTGCATGCTCCTCAAACACCGTCTAGGGTTAGAGCTCATGAAACTGACCCCAAACTTATGCAGGAAAAGTGGGGAGTTATGCGGTTGAGCATCCTTGTGAATGACTTGGATGAAGGTCTAGAGGGCATGTTCTTATCAAGTTTGCAGATGGGGCCAAATTAATACTCTAGAAGACAGGATCGCACTTCAATACGACCTCAACAGATTAGAGCTGAATGGCCAAAACTAACCAAATGAATGGACAAGAGCAACCGAATGGTATAAACATTTTGTAAATCAGGCATTGAAATAGCTTCCAAGGTTTTGGACTGAAATTTTTAATGGAAGTTCTTCATTTATGAGGGAAGAACAAATGATTGGCATAATAATAATAATAATAATAACAACAACAACAACAACAACAACAACAACAGCAACAACAACAATATCCCTTTGATTATAGTCCGCCCTGTGGGGACTCCGAGCGGATTACAGTGTAAACAGATACCAGCAAACATTCAATACCTTGTTACAATACAATGAGATACACAAACACAAACAAGGGCAAAGGCTTCTCCTTTCATTTCTGGTTTTGGAGGTGGTGCTCATCTCTGGCTCTGCTGGGGAAGGTGCTGTTCTCCATTTCCAAGCTGTAGAGCCTGCGTTGTCACTTGGCCTGTCTTCTAGAGTATTAGCTCTCCCTCATAATTGACGTTGGCTCAGGACTAAGATGATCACATCATGCAAATCTAATGCACACACTTGTTTTGGCAAGATCGTTGAGCCCCAAAAGGTGAACGTTAGATTTGAGTCAATAGGGTAGTTTAGGCATGGGCAAACTTCAGATCTCCAAGTGTTTTGTACTTCGACTCCCACAATCCCTAACTGCCTCAGCCCCCTTTTTTTTTCGGAAAGGGAAAAGGAAGGGGCCTGAGGCTGTTAGGGATTGTTGGAGTTGAAGCCCAAAACTCCTGGAGGGAGGTCCAAAGTTGGCCCATTCCTTTGCCCTCTTGGAACTGAACACTTCAGTCCATCAAGGGGTCATCTGCATACCCACGTTGTGGGAGTTGGAGTCCAAAACACCTGGAGGGAGGGACAAAGTTGGCTCATGCCTTGGTCCTCTTGGAACTGGACACCAGTCCATCAAGGGGTCATCTGCATACCCACGTTGTGGGAGTTGGAGTCCAAAACACTTGGAGAGAGGGCTGAACTTGACCCATGCTTGGTCCTCTTGGAACTGGACACTTCAGTCTATCAAGGGATCATCAGCATATCCATATTGTGGGTGCTGGAGCCCAAAACACCCGGAGGGAGGGCCCAAGATGACCAAGGCCTTTGTCCTCTTGGAAGTGGACACTTCAGGCAATCAAGGGATCATCTCCATACCTATGTTGTGGGAGTTGGAGTCCAAAACATCAGGAGGGAGGGACCAAGTTGACCCATGCCTTTGTCCTCTTGGACTGGGCACTTGAGTCAGTCAAGGGATCATCTGCATACCCACATTGTGGGAGTTGGAGTCCAAAACACCTGGAGGGAGGGCCCAAGTTGGCTCATGCCTTGGTCCTCTTGGAACTGGACACTTCAGTCCATCAAGGGGTCATCTGCATACCCACGTTGTGGGAGTTGGAGTCCAAAACACTTGGAGAGAGGGCTGAACTTGACCCATGCTTGGTCCTCTTGGAACTGGACACTTCAGTCAATGAAGAAATCATCTGCATACCCACGTTGTGGGAGCTGAAGTTCAGAACCTCTGGAGGGCCGAATTTTACCAGTATCTGGAATGATTTGGAATAGACGCCAGAACGTGCATCCTCCTCGGCTCCCCACTGCGCTGCAGCAACGCCATGGGCTTAACGCCTTTCTCCCCGAATTTCCCTGCAAGGCTGAGGATTGGATCCCGCCTTGGCGAGAAGCAGCTGGTCTTCTCACCTTCCTTGCTGCAGAGCAGAGATAAAAAATAATTAGAGGCTCGAACCATCAAGTTGGGCTTTATAATAAAAGAGAGACAGAGAGAGAGAGGATCTTCTCGGCAAACAAAACCTCATTTTCCCTCATTAAAGATTGTTTTTTTAACCTCTTGCCTGTGTGTTTGTTTTCTGTCCATTATGCCTCCCGCCCGGCGTGCCCCGAGCCCTCCCTCCCTTCCCTTCCCTTGTTCCCCGTAATCAGGAAAGGTGGGTCTTTGGGGGGCCAAAACAGGGCGCCGTTTCCTCCGGAGCCAGAGCGGGATTTCTGATGCGCACCCCTTTCTGACGCGCACCTCTTTTCTTTCCCGTGCAGGCGAAAGATCACGCAAGAATGGGGATAAAGGAGGTGAAAAACCGCTTGAAGCAAAAGGTACTTGAAGTTGGTGGTGTTCTCTTTCCTTTCTATCTGTAAGTATATGGCATACTTGGCCGGGAAAGAGAGGCATTATGTGATCAATAGGGAGCTGTTTGGGGCTGTGTTGTTAACACACTTCAGAATGCATTACCAGCTGTCCCGGATTTTTTCCCCCCACTGTTATAAATATTCACAGACAAAAAAACCAAATACATTAAGGCCTGATGTGGGATTTGCGCTCCTTGTTCCAAAAAGAGGGGAGAGGACGGGAGGAAGCCAAGCCTGCCTCGCGCTCACGAGGGAGCCGCAGAAATGCTCCGTTTCCATGCTCTCTTCTGCGCGCAACCCAGTCAAGAGGCCCCGCGCCACTTCACTTCCCCCCGATTGATTGTTCTGTACCAAGCGGGGAAACACACCTCGGCACACCTCATGCAAATCATCACCTCTGCGGTGTGTTCATTCTGCAACATGTGCAAACATACAATGGAGCCAGCTTACATACAAGCTACAAGCGTGTGCATATTTCTCCATGCTTAAAGTGAGCAATAGACTTTGGCAGCAAGCGAGAGTCGCGAGAGCAGATTATTATTAATCAGGCATTGAGCTCTGGCAGGGAACGTGGTGCCAGGCTGCATTCACTGGGAAATTTTGGAATGCTGCTTATATTTAATCCTGTTTGAATGTTTGCGTATTTGTGTATTTTAAATGGTTATGCCCATGCTTTTATGTTAAGCCCTTTGGGGGAGATAAAGCGCAGTATAAATAAAATAAATAAATAAATAAATAAATAAATAAATAAATAAATAAATAAATTCTGCAGTGTAAATGCACTTTACAATTCTGGAGACCAGAATTCAAATCTTTGCTGAGCCATGTTGGAAAGCCACTGGCTGACCTTGAGCATGTCACACTCTCAGCTTCAAGGGACACCAAGGGCAAGCCTCTTGTGAAAAAACTTGTTAAGAAAACCCTGTGAAAGATGGATGGGCGGATGTATGGATGGACGGATAGATGAATGGATAGATAGATGGATGGATGGATGGATGGATGGATGGATGGATGGATGGATGGATGGATGGATGGATAGATGGATGGATAGATGGATGGATAGATGGATGGATAGATGGATGGATAGAGGGATGGATGGATGGATGGATGGATGGATGGATGGATGGATAGATAGATAGATAGATAGATAGATAGATAGATAGATAGATAGATAGATCTATAGATGGATGGATGGATAGATGGATAGATAGATGAATAGATAGATGAATAGATAGATGAATAGATGGATGGATAGATCAATCGATAAACAAATGGATAAGTGGGTGGAAGGAAGGAAGGCTGGCTGGATGGATAGATGGATAGATCTATAGATAGATGGATGGATGGATGGATGGGTGGGTGGGTGGGTGGGTGGGTGGGTGGGTGGATAGATAGATAGATAGATAGATAGATAGATAGATAGATAGATAGATAGATAGATAGATGAATAGTTAGATGGATGGATAGATCGATCGATCGATAAACAAATGGATAAGTGGGTGGAAGAAAGGAAGGAAGGCTGGATGGATGGATGGATAGATGAATAGATAGATGGATGAATAGATCGATCGACCGATAAACAAATGGATAAGTGGGTGCATGGAAGGAAGGCAGGCAGGCAGGCTGGATGGATGGATAGATGGATAGATCTATAGATGAATGGATATACGGATGGATGGATGGATGGATGGATGGATGGATGGATGGATGGATGGATGGATAAATAGATGGATGGATGGATGGATGGATGGATGGATGGATGGATGGATGGATGGATGGATAAACAAATGGATAGGTGGGTGGGTGGGTGGAAGGAAGGATGGATAGACAAACTGATAGATAGATAGATAGATAGATAGATAGATAGATAGATAGATAGATAGACAGACAGACAGACAGACAGACAGACAGACAGACAGACATTTAGACTTGAAGGCTCCCAACAAAAAAGGAATTGCCAGCTATTTATTTATTTATTTCAAATATTTTAAAACAAACAGTCAATAATTATAAATAGTTAAAAACATTAAAAACTATACAATTAAAATCTACTAAGAATTACCACTCTGGTGGCCACTATTGGCCGAAAACTGTGGTTGGATGCTCCGTCAAACTTATCCATATTCCATTTCCAAACCATTGTCAACATTGTTATTGTCACTGTCCGCTTAATTACCCAAAGGCCTGATCCCACATCCACGTTCTTAACTTTTTTCTAAAGGTGAGGAGGGATGAAGCCATGTTGCTTGGATGCCCAAAGAGCAACACCTGCTCAAAGGGAAAACCATTAAAAATGCAAGAACCCTCTTGGGTTTCAGGTCTAGGAAGCCAAGTGCCAGAAGCAGAAGTTTGTTGGACTTCACCTCCAAGCATGATGAGGTGAAAGTGAATGAAAGCTGTAGTTTAATGAGATCCCAAGGACACCAAATCATCTGCCCCTGTGTCCAGGCCTAGATTGTGGTGGGCAGAACATGATTTCCAAATCAGAGGGTCACCAAATGGCCTTGAGATTAGTTTTTTGTTTGTTGAAGGCAAACTTTGGAGAATGCAGCATCTGGGGAGAAGACAACACAAGTAAGAGGAGATCCATAGCGAGAAAAGGGATCATTAAATCAAGATAAATAATAAATTCATAGAATCCTAGAGTGGGAAGAGACCTCCTGGGCCATCATCCAGTCCAACCCCATTCTGCCAAGAAGCAGGAATATTGCATTCAAATCACCCCTGACAGATGGCCATCCAGCCTCTGTTTAAAAGCCTCCAAAGAAGGAGCCTCCACCACACTCCCTCCGGGGCAGAGAGTTCCACTGCTGAACAGCTCTTCCAGTCAGGAAGTTCTTCCTAATGTTCAGATGGAATCTCCTCTCTTGTAGTTTGAAGCCAAGGGTCCATTGCGTCCTAGTCTCCAAGGAAGCAGAAAACAAGCTTGCTCCCTCCTCCTCCCTGTGGCTTCCTCTCACATATTTATACATGGCTCTCATCATATCTCCTCTCAGCCTTCTCTTCTTCAGGCTAAAGATGCCCAGCTCCTTAAGCCGCTCCTCATAGGGCTTGTTCTCCAGACCCTTGATCATTTTAGTCACCCTCCTCTGGACACATTCCAGCTTGTCAATATCTCTCTCCAACTGTGGTGCCCGGAATTGGACACAATATTCCAGGTGTGGTCTAACCAAAGCAGAATAGAGCATGGAAGCATGACTTCCCTGGACCTAGACACTAGGCTCCTCTTGATGCAAAAATCCCATTGGCTTTTTTTGCCGCCACATGACACTCCTGGCTCATGTTCCCCTTCCTCCCCACCAGGACTCCAAGATCTTTTTCACACGTCCTGCTCTCAAGCCAGGCATTGTCCCCCATTCTGTCTCTTTGCATTTCGTTTTTCCTGCCAAAGTGGAGTATCTTGCATTTGTCCCTGTTGAACTTCATTTTGTTAGTTTTGGCCCATCTCTCTAGTCTGTCAAGATCGTTTTGAATTCTGCTCCTGTCTTCTGGAGTATTGGCTCTCCCTCCCAATTTGGTGTCATCTGCATTCTGCTTTCGAACCCTTCATCTAAGTCATTAATCAAGATCCTGAGCAGGACCGGGCCCTGGACGGAACCCTGCGGATGGCACTCCACTCATCACTTTTTTCCAAGATGAAGAGGAGGAAGCCTTGGGGAGAATCACCCTCTGGGTTTGTCCATTTAACCAATTCCAGATCCACCTCACCGTAGTTTTGCCTAGCCCACATTGGACTAGTTTCCTTGCCAGAAGGTCATGGGGGACCTTGTCGAAGGAGGCCTTCCTGAAATCCAGACATCCATGGCATCATTCCCCGCATCTACCCAGCTTGTAACTCTATCAAAAAAAGAGATCAGATGAGTCTGGCATTCGTGTTTCTTCCTTTCGCATTACCATTGGATTGCCATTATTTCCATTCTTTTCAACCTGAGTCAAGAATTCCAGGCTGGTGTGTCTCAAATGCCTGCAGACCCCACTCTTGCCCATGTTGTTGTTGTTGGGCTTCTTCATCCAATGTTCGGTATTGAAAAGAGGAAAATTTCCGCACCTCTCATCTGGTCCAGAGTCTTTGCTCCTTTGCGATTTGCATGTCCTTTTTCCTCTCCGCCCTTTCATTCTGCCAAACGCAACGCGGTTGAAGACGGAGAAGGCATGTTAGGGAAGAAGGTTTCCCCATATTTGAGGTGCGACGAGGAGCAAGAAGAACCCTGTTATTTCCGAGGAACACCTTTGAGCCGAGGCTGTTGACAGATCCATGAGCCCAGCCTGTGCCATTTTCCATATACTTTCAGCCAAGATTGCCTCCCGTTTCATGCGCTAATGACAAGTTTTACTTTCTGGAAGTGGGATTCTGCCTCTGTGTTTGTGTGTGTGAGTGCAGGAGACGGAGAGAGAGACAAAAGGAAGGCATCGGAAGGCATCGGAAGGGGCCCCTCTTTACCTGAACCCGGGCGGTGTTCCCCGACCAATTTGAGCCTGCTCCGGACCTGACCCCGCGCTGCCCCTCCGTATATTTCCCGGCATTAACATGAAACGCGCCCCGGCTTTTGGCAAACCTCCCGCCCCACCTTTGCGGTCTCGCTTGCCAAATAGGGATGCCTTCTCTTTCTTTGTACGGCAATGGAGAGAAAATTTGATAATGCGCCGAGGAGGGGAGAACGGCTCTTTCCGACTGTGCATAGCAATGATGACCTCGCCGATATAATCAAGAGCCCGCGTTTGCCCTCGGTCCGCTCCGGCGCCCGGTTTGAATTGCAAATGGGGAAATGCCAGGTTGACCTCTGGAGGGGTCAGCAGAGGAGTGTATGGAAGGTCCTCTTCTAATACGGTTGAGCGGGGCTCCCTTCCTATCCATCCCTCCTTCTTCTTCTTCTTCTCTTTGTGGCCTGGGCTTTTCAAAAAAGGCAATCATTTGCACAACCTCCTTACCGACCGAGAGCAAATGATGGTGAACGGAGAACAGGGCG